TGTGAAGAATTCTAAAAAATAATCGAATGTCACTCAGGCGAATTATGGACGCAAGCATAGTTAACATATTTTCAATCGAGTCAATCAATACGTATTCCCACAATCGTATCCACACCCACGGAATGGTACCGACATGCACGAAAAAACGAACTCTATGATATCCCAAGAATATTCTCAATTTTCTAATACACTTTGCAAAATCCTTTTACTCATGGAAAGTCCAGCAGCAATAGGATAAATTGCCAAAATTCAGGTGGTGAAATGCCGATTTAATCTGAGAGGGAAATAGAGAAGACATCAGTCTTGAAGTCTTTGAGCTATAGCTTTTAATATAACATCTGATGCAAAAGTAACGAGCCAGCCTAAAGTCCATATTTTTTATACGATAACTTTGAGAACGGTACACTGTTTTATGCTCGTTGAAATATGATTAGAGACGTTGACATCTCTATATGATACAAATTTTACTCGATTTTGTATATGATCTTTCGTTTGCCGAAAGTAAGATTCAAAGATTATAAATAATCAATGCATTTTAATTTCATTATGTTGATAGAATAAAAAAAAACCTGGCGCTGTTCGTAGTAATGATTAATTATTGCTGACACTAATGATAATCCATCAAAAGATAGATGCTGACATCTTTTTTGTGGATTAGCCGAACTATGGGAATTATTAGCAATACCATTTGCTATGGTTATGCAAGAAGAAGCGACAGTGGAAAATATTAACAAGTTTTACTTTATGACTTTGTTTGTACTGCACTTTTATTTAAGTCAGTTAACTTATCAACAATGCTGCTGCTTCAATTAACGGAGAACTGATCTGACATCTAGTGTTGATATAATTTCCACAAAAGAATACATCTAATGTATACTACGTATGCATTCGTTAAAACAGAACAGAAGTTCACAATCTCTAGATGATAATGAACAGTTAATATTGATATAAACAAATACAATCCCAATAATTTGAATGCATACAATAGGCAAAATTTATTACAAAAGAACACTAAATATCGATATTTATCGTATTTAAACAAAACATTTCATAAAGTACAACGTAGTTTCTCAGCGATTCTGCAGTGTAAACATATTGAATTAAGAAGGATGTTTTTCCATAATAATCAGAACGAAATCAGATGTAAATTCAACAGTAACTTTCTACAATAATAGTACATTTCCATCAATTCGATACATGATACGAATATTTGCCATCTGGGCAATATCAAAAGTGCAAAACCGAAATTTGACACCCTTCGCACTCTTCTCACACTCTGAACTGAGTTTAGATGCCATCTAGTTCATTCTTAAAAGGTAAATAAACTAATTTCAAAATGTTAATCTGGGTGTGGGATATGGGTGAGAGTGGATCAGTAGGTGTTGTTGAGTATCCTTACTTAGATCTCATTACTGTAAGTCCCGATGTCAAGGATTCCAAATTAAGCTCAATTCTTCACACTTACTTAACATGGATACAAATGAATATTGAAACAAAATTGAATAGAATAATTTGATGTGTGCTTGGCTAAAAATTTCGTTTCTCTAAAAGCATTGAAATATGTAAAAGTCGAACGATCTCAATAAAAATTTCGCACAAATACTGCTACACAAGAAGATGAGCATGGAATATTCTAATAACATTTTCGATAAATATTTCAGGCAGATGAAATAAAAATGGAATGTCGAAGTACAACTTTTTCTTCTATACTTTATGAATGAATCAAAGTATCTTTTATTTGAATATAATAAACAAAAGCAAACCGAAATTCAACTAACAAGTAAAATAGAACATCTCAATGAAAACTTCATTTAAATGCAACATACACACAATTGAGATGTTTAGAAGAATCCAAGTGAAGGAGGCATGACAAGAAACATCTGGATCCGTGAAATCTCTGTTGATTTTCGGTCGCTAAAGCTAAAACCAATTCTTACTATTTTCTGCAGTCCAAAACGATATCCGAGACCTGATTTTCGTTTCCAGTCTAGTTACTGCGTGCAAAGCCAATAATGATTACAATACCAGGATTGGTCTTGTGATATGTAATTTTCAATTGCTCGATGTCGGTTGTCTTTAACTGAATATTCTAAGAGTATTCTATGACGTAACCATTATCCTTTTATGATTTTATTGAATTTGAATCATGCAAATCAGCGGTAGCGAAACTCAACAAGAATATATTTCATATCCATTCAAATTATCTGTTGCTAAAGAAAAATCACAAGGAAAGTTTTTTTCTCTTTATTTTGACTTTATAGGAATATAATACAACGAGAAAAAAGCGGAATCAATTCGATTGAAAAAAATAGCATCAATCACATAAAATTACGATATAGCAGATCATTGAAAATCATTATTCCTTTTTTTTTTGTCTAAGAAACATATGTTCCAATCTGATGATTTTGTTTTTCATCAAAAATTAGCACAATATGATGATTTTACTGCACTTAATCTGCACTTTTTCAGTGTTACAAATCATTCTTATTGATCTTTTCTTTAGAAGAAGGGTATATTATCAAGCGAGTACCGAATTTTGTACCCAAAATGAGGACACATTGATGACTTTTAGGTTCACTATTTTTTTCATACAGCAATCCTACCACCGAATCGAAGAGTTGTCTCAGAAAATGATTGGAAATCATTCTCTTTTACTTTTTCGTACATGAGCATATATTAAGATGTCAAACAGAGTAATCCCTGCCCGTAACCAAAATGGAATGATGCTTTTTATGCTTCTTAAGTTCACTTGTTAGGTATAAAATAGCCTCGCACACCAAGAAAAAATAGATATAAGAAAATCACTTGAAATCATTATTCTTGATCTTTTGTTTCGAACAATAATATGTTTAGAGGAGGAGTTCAGCATTGGTGCGAAACTTCAGCATAAAATGACCTGAGGTTTCCAACATACGTTTGCCCGATAAAGATTTTGTAAATCGTTATTCTTCATCTTGAAAATTATTTTAGCTGGATGTAAGTACAATTTTTCATGCGAAAAGTGATCATCTTTTAATTGTTTTGATGGTTTTAATGTTTAGTGTTGTAGTATCCAAGCATATAGCACATTGACAAGACTATATTTGTTGAAAAATCTGTAAAAGTCGTCATTCTATGTCATTTTTCGCAAAAACTGATGTTATTGAGCCGTACCTGCGCCTCCAACCAAACGTTTGCGAAGGTAAACGGCTTTATACCATAGTTTCCTATCTTTATTCACAAAGATAACTTTCTGTTTCAAATGGTCAAAGTGTTTCACAAGAAAAGTGAGCATAAAACGACGTTTTTCTTGATTAAAGTGCATATTTTTGTAATAAAGAAGGATAGATCATTTAAGCACATATTCTAGTCTTGGCAGCTCAGTGTAAATCATATTCCTTGATCTTATTATCCGAAAATAAGTGTCTCTCGAATTGAGTAAACAACTCCGAAGTTAAAGTGAGTGTTATATGATAGATTGGAAGATTTTTATCGTCAATTTTGTATTATAAGACGACTAGTAGCTTCGCATAGGCTCTCGTCCTGCCTAATCGTTGTAAATAATTTCTCTCTATCGTTCGATCCAATAAAGAGCTCCTTTTCAAATGAATACATAGCTTCCTAAGACAAGTGAATACAAAACGATGATTTTGAAGATGTTTATGATCAGTTTAGAAGAATAAAAACTTCTGTCGCGTCGTAAACTCTCAGTTCCTGCCAAATCATTGTAAAACATTTTCTTTCATATTCTAATCAGCAAAAGAACAGCACGTAAGTCCAGTATTGCCAGTCAAAAGTACGAATAAAGGGTGTTGGCGTAGGTGCATGAGTGCGTATATCGATGTGAATTTTCTTTTAAATAGAGCCACACTCTCATATCCCACCTATACTCATACACACAGCCACATCCTCGTAGCTGGGGCAAATCTTACAAAAATAGGGTGAAACTTTGGTTGGGACCAGCATTCAATGACCTACGTATATGGTCGTTTAAGATTCGTTTTTTTCGAAAAATCTATGACTCTTGCCTTACACAACGGCTTAGGTCAGAAGACGACTAAATCTATGCTCCATCTGCGACGGAAACGAGGTATCTCATGTAGAGAAAAAAAAGAAAGTATTCTTACCGGATGTTGATATATTGAAAAAGGCAAATATATAAAATAACTTATGTAAGTTCTATTGTTGTTAATGATCCCCAATATAATAATAAAAGGTGGTTAATAGTATCACAAAAGGGAGAAAAGAAGAAAGAGAAAAGTAATAGGAAAGAATAAAAAGTGATGAAATATTACCGGTGCAGAGGGAACAACGAGAAAAATACAAAAACGATAATAATAATAATAAGAAGAAAAAGAAACAAAAACAAATCACTGGAATGATTCAAAGAAAATATGTATTGCCAATAGAGAACAACTAGTCAGTTAGCGGTAATAGAGTGACCTCTATTGACGCTGACAGGTAGAAAATGAGCCACGTTGGTCAAGATTTGAAAGGGTTTAGTCGTGGCAAAGACTTTTGTCAAGCATTGTAGCTCCATCACCATGATGCGCATCAATCTCAAGAAAACTGTTTTTCGTCTCTCTAGAAATTTCTCATGATTTTCTGTAGAGTTTTCATCCAAAAAATTGGACTATCACAGAGACTAGAATTTAAAAACTCCCATCGTACGTTGTACCGCTTTCATACACATTCAGGTGGCTGCATTATTGTTCGATGTTGAAATCTGTGTGAAATTCTCCAGAAGTTCTGAGTCATACTTTTTTGTTTCGAAAGGTGCTTCATCGCATCTACGCGTCGAAGAAAGGTAGAATACACCTTGCCGACAGCATACCACATAGAATTAGTAAATAAGGGTGCAATCGTGCTGCTCATGACTCATTTACTTTGCAATTACAGATTGTGAAAAAAAAGTGATGCAATAACTGTGCAGTCTTGCTTTCGCTTATAAAACGACAGTGCTGTAAACTTGCTCATCTGTCTTTCTTTCTTCGCTGATACTATTTCATAAAACGAGATCAATGATGGATAGTGCACCTCCATCTGGCAATGCTTCACAAGCCACCGATGATTGTACAATCTGTCTAAGTAGCCTGGCGTCTGGTACTCCACTTCTTATATTATCCTGTGGCCACAGATTTCATTTCCAATGTTTGACTTCGAACATCCAAGCAGGACACAACGAATGTCCCTTGTGCAGAGGTGCAATCGATGCATTTGTCATCAAACTGCTAGGTAATCCTTGTCAACTATCAACACAAACTCCGCAAATGTCTCAACCTCAAGTTGGACAAGCTCCAACAAACGCTGGAAACGCAGCACCAGCAGCCATAGTGAGTACTATTATCGGCTATGATTTCATTTGTTCAAGTTCGCAAGACCGAGACCGCGGAAGATCCTTTCATGGGCATAGCACTAATCGACCCACAGTCATCTATTGATGTCGAACTCGACCTTTAAACATGAAATGACAGATACATGAAGCAGTAATTCTTTTGTTAAGCGCAAGTTTGTCGTTCTTAGATCGAAAAATCTGCTCTGGAAAAGTTCGATTCCACTAGAAGCAAAGTAAGCATAATCACGCTTTGGAACGTCTCATTTAAAATTCAATTTATTATTTTCGACACATCAGGGGTGGTGTTTGAGATCTTCTTGGCGCATGAGAAAACGTGAGTTTCCATTGAAACTTAGACTGCGTTTCTGATGTAGTCTTCCGATCTGCAGGTTCCAATATCAGAATAATAAAAATATCTTTTTTTCACCCACTTACTTAGGCTCTTATCGAATCTTCGGAGCGGAAAAATCGATTGTTCATGTGTTCTGCAAATTGTTTTCAATCAGTAGAACATATTTACATAGTCCTACTATTTTTGTGGAACTTTGATGTGAGTAGCCTTATTTGATGAAGAACCACATTTTAGCAATGCTCTTCAAGTTTTGTGTCGAAGCTGATGTAATGATTTCTCTAGCTCTTCAAGGCTATAATTGAAGCGTCATGGTTTCACAAACGTGTTGCTAAAATCTCTTCCTTCATGGAAGGGGGCCATTACAATCAAAATGAGACAATAGCTCTCGCAAAAAATTCTATTTTCTCAAGAACATTTTGGTTGTGAGACGAAGCATTAAAAAAGGCGTTGAAAGTGCGGTGCGTAGGTCTGATCTGTTTCAACAGAATTGTTAACTTTGACGGGCCATTAACAGTGTAGAGCCGTATGTTTTCATTAGTTTTCTATAATAGGCGCGTCTTTTAAGGTTGTTCCCTCGATTGAAGATCCAATTGATGAGGCTACGGCGGCAGCTATTTCCGAACGTTTTCTTGCTGCTCGACAAGTGGCGGTCGCCTTGTTGAATGAAGCCAATAACTTGCCGTTGATCACTGCTGTGACAACACTAGAATATGAAGGTCAAGTTTCTCATGAAGAGTCAAATATATATGGCCTTGTCACTCTGCAAGCTCCACCTGTTTTACAATCAAATAACCTGTCAATAATTCAATCGCGTGCTCCCATCGATCTTGTTTGTGTTGTTGATCAAAGCGGATCGATGTCAGGAGAAAAAATTACCTTATTGAAAAAGACACTGACTGATATCGTCGACCAATTGGGTGAACTTGATCGACTGGCCATTGTATCATTCAATGATGGTGCATTTGATCGTTCTCACGGACTCAAACGGGTGAATCAACAAAAGTAAGTTAGTCGATCACTCCCATTTGATTATTGTAGCTTGTTTTGATATAGTCGACAAATCTTGAAAACCGACATCGATGGTATTGTGAGTGGAGGAAACACGTATATCGGAGCGGGTCTCGAAATGGGTATCAATCTCCTTCTAACCCGCCAGACTAAGAATCCACTCAGTGCTTTACTTATACTCACCGATGGCCAAGACAGTTCTGCACACGACTATACTCAGATTATGAGTACTTTACCCGAAGGAGCTCAGTGTTACACATTTGGCTACGGTGCGGATCACCATGCAGAATTGCTAGTAAAACTAGCTGAACAAGGCAATGATGGTACTTTCACTTATATTGTAAGTTTTGATTCCGCTTTATTTCACATATCGATGAGCCCACAATGTATCGATCTCCTTAACAGGACCAAGAACAAGCCGTGTCAACAGCTTTTGCGATTACAATGGCTGGACTATTGACATGCATGGCGCAAAAAATTGAGGTCAATATTGAACTTTCTGGCGAATATCGGATCACCCATTTTCTCTCAAAATATAAATATGAGCCTGAACAACTTCCATCGATGAAGCTTGCCGTCAAATTACATAATCTCAGCGCCGATGAAAAGCGAAATCTGGTCTTTCGATTGCATATTCCCAAAGTAAACGACGACCAAAATGTTGAAATGTCTAGTCAACAGTCAATGGCACAGGATGAAACGACTAGTGAACAACAAGTGTTTGAAAAACAACCAATTGGTAAGTATTAGGGTCCTTTGCGTAGAAGATGTCCTCTAGTTACATAACAGCTCATATCCGTGTTTTTCTATAGGGCATGTCAGCGTTTCTTACACTGATCCGAATACTGCTCAATTAATAACAACAACTCCAGTCTCCTTCTATCTGATCCGAGCACGTAATTTGCCAGTCGAACTCCTTCGAGGAAATTATCAACTCGATCGTCAAAGAAACCGAATAGAAACAATCGATGCACTTGAAAGAGCAATGGCCGAGCGTAATTACGAACAATCACGTTCAATTCTCTCAGCTCAAGTAGAAAAGATTAAAGTCAGTGCATCCGCACAAGATCCATTTTGTCAGGAGTTGATCCAAGACCTTGAACATTCATTTCCATCGGAACAAGAGTATCGTGCGACACATCACAATGTCTCCAGGTCTCATCAAACCGAACGAGGCACTTATTCAACAACGGCAACTTCCAGTTCACGACATTACCATAGTCGTCTTCAACGAGAATTAACCGAGCGCTATAAGAGAAGTAATATTCCATGAACTTGATGACGTTACGTACAAGTAATCTTATCAGACATTTTTCTTGAAAGATAATATCATTTTTTCATGACATCGAGTAGAATCATGTTACAAAACCAGAACTCCGCCGAAAGAAGGCGACTTAATCTTGATTTTTATGCAGTAATCATTTTATCGAATAAAACTTTTACATCAAGATCAGTTGCTTTGTATGAGTTGAGAACAGCTGCAAAGTCTAAAATTGAATTACAACTCGAAAAGAGCTGTAAATAACACCTCTCCAAACAGGTGATGTAAAAAGGTGCAACCCAGCACTAGTGTCCGTGCGTATTCCCATCCAGAGTTATACGCTTGATCATTCAGGATTTTTCTGAAAATCGAAAAGCGTCAGCAAAATTTTTCGGTAGAATTTATTTTCATGCAAAAGTGTTCACGGAGGAAGGCTCTCATAGAAATAAAACATCAATGTTGTATTCTGAATGGGTGGGTGTGGCTGTGGCTGTGGTTGTGGTTGTGGTTGTACGTGCGAGGATGGGCGTGAGGTGTTGATATTAGTCTTCTCTTTATCCACACTAACACCCCAACTTGACCAGTCTATTTTGGTCTACATGCTCCTTTTTATTGGTCGAAAAATGGTAAAGCTTGAGAAGTAATTCGTATTTGTCTCGATAATACTTCACAAAATTTGAAGTATTTCTTCATTAGTACTTGGTTTTGATTGAAGATCTTTCGATCGTTTGCTAAGTTCCTCCGTTTTTAAATGTTTTTCCACGTATTGGATAGTTTTGCGAGTCATGACGGTAATCATTTTATCAGTGATGAAATGTTGATAGCAATCCAGAGGATTGATTATATTATCTTTCAAAGTTGACATTAATTCTTGGGCGACTCCATGATCCTGCTGAAAATCAGCATCCGATCCTGATTTTATTTCATTACTAACTTCTTCCTCAGAGTTTGAAGATTCAAATTGCATTCGAGATAAATCATTGCAAAATTTCAGTTGTTGTTTTTACATCAGAGAGGAAAAATGAAAGAATGCTACGAAAAGAGTGCAAAAGAAAAAAAAAACATCGAAATTTCGTTTCGTTATCTTGTTCTTACTGCGCAATACATATAAGACAGAGAGAAATAAAGTTGAGTAATTATTCAATGCGGCGTAAAAGAGGACCGCCTATGTAATGATACAAACAAGAAAAATAAAAACAACTGGCAGCACACACGTGTGAAACGGGTCAAGAAGTGCATTTATCGGTAGGTGGATGCACATGAAGATGAATCTATTAAAGCTAATTCCTACAACAATCGAATGTCTCGTATGTGTTAATCATCTGTTCAGATTTTGAAAAAAGGAAACTTCCAGACTTTTCAAAATTTGTCGCTTTGCATTGGTGTATGCTGTTGACAGTTATGCGAATTTCCTTTTTTAGAAAACCTGCATATACCTCAGTAAACGGTAGAAAAGTTCTACCCGCAAATGTATCTGACAGCAAATGATCATTCTTTACGCCAAACTTCTTTGTACGAGAAGCATATATAACGCGCAAAAAACGTTAACATGTTATCAGCTGGGTGTGTGATAGATGAATGTCTTTGTTTAAAGAAAGATAACAGAATGACTCGTATAATATTGTGACAAACATTTCACGACAAAATCGCCTGTATTATAAAAGACAATAGAAGCAATAGGCTTGCTTATTTCATCGTCATTTCAACGTAAAATTGAACTACAATAATGATACAAGTCGTCGTTTTCCTTCTTGTCAGGTAGTTGATATAGCTCCTTTTGAAATGTCTCCAACACAACGTCTTTCTATTTTAGTCTTCTAGGTTTGCCTGTCGCTTCCTTTGTCCTATTAAACAATCGATTCTATCCTAGAGTAGGTAATATTAGCATGCAAGAGTGCCATGGTAGGTGTCAATACAATCAGTGTTCGACGAACATTGCATGTGGCCATTTTCAAACAGCATCTAATAATGATAGTAGTATTTGTGGTTTTCTCCTGTTGACTTGTTCTGAATTGGTTTCATGTGTACCATCAAAAAATTTTTGTTATCAGTTTGGTCATATCTGTGTTCATCATCCTCGATGTTTTACTCATCCCATTTGTTATCCATCATCAATGGCTGATCAACGAATCTGTCCAACAAAAGAAAGTACGAAAAACAAGAATTATTTACAGATTGATGGAGAACTTCTATTTTTATTAGAAATTCCGTTATATTAAAGGAAATCGACATATAATTATTGTAGCAAAAAACTGTTTATAGCGTTCAAGGCGCTGCACTGTAGCAGCAACATCATTAGCTTAGTATTTTGATATATACCACCGATCAGTATATTTTCGTTCTTGAAAAAACGAAGAAAGAAAACATATTCTCAGGTACACTTATATTGTGATAATTCTAGTTTAAAGAATATGATGATGTTAGACGGACAAAATTTTGTTTTAGAAATCTTCTGATTTTCCACTTGAAAAGAAGATGTCTTTGTGACTTTAAGTATTTTGATAGTATAACAAAAAACTCTTCGAAAGAAAGCATAGTTAGTGGAATAGACAGAAGACATTTTTTTCAAAGAACTTCTCGACTCAGAATTTTCTTTAACGCAATATTCATTCAAATGAAATAAAATGTGGGTTATGGTTTCATAGAGTAAAACGTGGAGATACAGTGTAAATATAGTTGTACAAAAATTCTTCTTCAATTTCTAAGTCTACTGACTGATCTACGGCATGATTCTTTGAAAACTATCGAGCCTTTACTTACAAAGTATATTAATTCGGTTAGGTATCTCGTCGAGTGTTGAAGCATGATGCATTTGTTTAAAACCATTTTTTAATGTCAATGCTTTTTCTTCACGAATAGCGACAAACACTACAGCGACTACAATTACGAGTACTACAACGATTAGGAACACAACGAGCACGTCAAAAAGTAAGTGTTTCAATCATTCTAAAACAAGAATTTTCCATAAGAACAAAGAAATATCTTTGGAGTTAGAATACGAAAGTTGGCAGGAGTCGTCCTTGTCTAATCATTTGGAAATTAGAAACTTCGATAGCAATTTATGATTTGCTGACTATTCAAAGACTATCTTTGATCAGTTTATTTCTTATTTGTATAAATCAAATCCTTACTGAAGTAAAGAAAAGGCACCCATAGCTGTATCCTATTCGATCTTGTTTCGAGTGCAACGTTGGTGGGAAAAATTCTAAGACCGTAAATCAGATAAGGGTTTGAATAGACGTGAAACATGGCAGATAACTTCAAAAAACTGACGAAAACGAAATCATTCATGAAATTTGTAAAATTTCATCAGAAATATGCTTTCGTCGTGCCTCTGTGCTGTAAGGAAAATATTTGCGATGAGTAGAGTACGACAGACCCAGAATCTTTCGAAGGTACATACGGAATGGATCGCGATCCTGAAATAGTGAAGAGTTTTTATTTCATACAGTTACCTTTCCTCACATGTACGTTGAAAAATATTCTTCACTATTTTATTTCGATGCGATGGTTTTGGAGAATGCTGCGTAGTAAAAATACTTAACACTTACTAAAATTCACACTGCTGTATCGAAAGAATGGCTGGATCTGGCCTATCAATCATGTATCTGCATGATACAAGAGAGTCTAGAGTCAATACTACCCGAAGCTGTCAGCTCTTTGAAATAAAGGAAAACTTTTTTTGTATTATATTCGGCTACCAAAGTATCGTGAAGTTTAAACAGGATTTGGAAATAGACACAACGAATTCTTTAGCTCAGTATAGATTTAAATGAAGAAAGTGGAATCATCAATTCGAAAAATGCTTGAAACACTTGAATTACGATACAAACTCTTTGACAATGCAATGATATATCCCTTGAGAAAAACATTCGTATCTAAGAGCTTTTTATCAAGCAGTTCATAATTCAATTATTTCAGGATCATATTGCACCAAAGCTCAAAAGCAACAAATGACTTTCTTACTTTCAATGTTACTAACAAACACTTATTTCTTGTGTGGTCATTTCTTATACATTAACGTAAAATGCCGCAATAATATATATAGAATATCCATCTCCGACATAGATGGGGCCATTTTGTTCCTTAAAAATCATGGCTGAAGTTTCAAAACCGCACCTATTTTTGGTCCCAATTTAGGTTATTCTAGCTCAGTATTGAACGCTTTCAGCGTGTATGTTCTATATTCATACTGCATTTCTACGAACTTCATACCGTACTCTTATGTGAAACATTCCTGTTCAAGTCTATTTTGGTCCTAGCAATGACCTCTCTTTGTAAATTCGTCTTTAAAATTCATCCTTTAACTTTGATATATTATGGAAAAATCAAGAAAACGTCACTTGCTGAACTTAGACAGCCACTATTAGGATCGAACTAGCCTTGAAGAAGATTTTTTTGCTTACAGATAGATCAAGTATGAAGGAAAAGAGATTGGATGGAAAAAAAGTAAAATACATAAGTTTTTCGACCAAAATATTAGATTAATTTTTCTGTAGAATAGTTCAGATTGGGACTAAGAAAAGCTGTTTTTTTTTAAAATTATGTCATAATTGGAACAGTTAGACTTGACAAATTGATATCTTTCATTTTTTTTCATTCGTTAAGTTCCATTAAGACCCGGTGATGGTATTTGTGCATTAGCGACATGGACTCAAAATGCTACCACTGTAGCTGGTGGAAATGGTCAAGGTTCTGATCTCAATCAGTTAGATATTCCTTATGGATTCTTTGTTGATGATAACCAAAGTATTTATGTAGCGGATTTTAACAACCATCGCGTAGTCAAATGGGATCGTGGAGTTTCTAGTGGTCAAATAGTCGCAGGCGGCAAAGGACACGGACTTGATAATGATCAATTAGATTCTCCAATGGATGTATTCGTCGATAAGCATGGAACGATGTACATCAGTGACAGAAACAATGATCGTGTTCAACGATGGTCTCGAGGTGCTCAAAGTGGAGAAACAATTATTAGAGATATCTTTCCTATTGGCATAGTGCAGGATGATCAAGGCTCACTCTATGTATCTGATGATATAAAGCATGAAGTGAGAAAATGGCATGTTGGTGACACAATTGGACAGCTGGTCACTTCGGAAGTTTTTGATCCAGGTTTACTGTTCGTTGATCGAAATCTAGCTCTCTACGTGGCCGACAAAGGTAATCATAGAGTGATAAAAGTGGATGATGGCACAACACAAATATCAATTGTTGCTGGTGGATCTCAAAGTGACGGCGCGGACCAATTAGGATATCCAGACAGTGTTATTGTGGATGAGCTAGGTACTGTCTATGTGACTGATACTGATCACGATCGAATAGTACGATGGCCACGTGGAGCTACATCTGGCAGCGTTATCGCTGGTGGTCATGGAGAAGGTTCTCAATCTGATCAACTTTCGAGTCCCACTGATTTAGCATTTGATCTTGATGGAAATCTCTATGTAGTCGATTCTAAGAATTTTCGCGTACAAAAGTTTGCCATTGCTAAGAATTTGTGCTGATACATGTAAGTCAATTAACCTTTTCTGTACCTAATAGGTTCTGTATTCTTCAGAACAAACACAGCACAAGATCAAAGAATATTGACGTGCATATAAAAAAACAGGTCTAAAACTGATGAGGCTGTGGGATGTGGGGTGTGACTGTGAGTGTAGCTGTGGGTGTGGGCGTGGGCGTGGGCGTGGATGAAAAAGATAATTCACACGCACATCCAGACAACGGTGAATATAGAGACTCATTTCACTATGCTAATATTTGTGTGTCTGTCACACTTTTAATTGAATTTTTCTTCAGTTCGCCTTCAGTCTGATCACAGTCATTAGAAACCAATCAAAATATCTTCTTTAATGTGGTTTATTTCAAGATTTTATCACAAGTGTCTTCGAATGACCTGTAGATTGATGTTCAACTAGAGTGAGATCATTGTTTTGTGAAAAAAGAACACATTTTCGCTCTAAAAATGATGATTGAAGATTCATTGATGATTTCTGACGATAAACTTGAGTACTTTTCCAGAGAGAATTCTTCAAATCAAAGGAGAGTGTGGGTGCTGTTCATTTTTCACGTACATCCACACTCTCCACACACCTACACCCACGGCCACACAACATACACAGTCTCAACCATAGATTATGTCTTTGTTATGTCAGGAGATGTCTCTCCTGACATAAGAAAGCTCTGTCTATTCTCTTGTGATGTCATCACTGTACATCAATGACATACGTACTCTTTTTTGTCAATGGTACTTTCATCATGGATAAAGAGTGGAATAAGAGAAAGAAAGAGAATCACATTCTTTGCTGCTTTTTATGTTTTTGATTCATTCGCTTGTTTGTTTTTTGAAAGAAAGGAAGAAGAATAAAATAGAAGAAGGAAAGGTCTAACAGTCTTGGCCATCTTTATGTATACATTGTCAGATCCCGTAAATGAGGAACTTATTCCAGGCCACCCATGATGGACTAGATATAGTAGTGACGCGAATAAAAGTTATCCCGCTCAACCATGGATTAAATGTAATATTAAGCCATTGCACATTGTATGTGTAGCCAGTTAAATTACTGACTACTTGTAAAGAACTCACTGTAGTACCAACAGAGATTTCGTGTTTTGTAACACCAGCAGGATGCTGACGGACATTCAAACACACACTGGAAATAGTGTACGCCCCTGGAAGCGCGAGCTGTACATATTGAGGAGGATAGAGACTGGAGTTAAATGATCCCCTTTGGGAACAACCAACAACGGCGTCGCCTTGAGCAGTGGCTGAACTGGCACTACTATAGAAATTGGACTCGTTAACTATGGCGAACAGTGAGAGAGCTTGAACTATAGAAGAGGAAATTATAAGATTATTATAACACGCATTAAAAATACAATCATTATTTCAACTCTAATTTATCTATTTAAGACAGAAATAAATTTGCTAATGAAGACGTTTCTTTATTCTACGCTAGAGTTTATCGTTATCGGCTTCTGATAAGCATGCACCAGTGTGCGAGTTTAGAAAAGAACAGCAAAAATTGAGGAGGCATTTATTTAAGCCCCATGCCTTACTTGGCAGATGTAAAGATTGTCTATTTACCCTCATTCTCACAATCTTACCTAAATTCACACTCCAACCCTAAAATGAATAACTCGTTGTTGGTGTACTCACAAAATAGTCGCACAATATTAGTCTTCATTCGTAAACCACTTTGATCTGCCTCCGACATTTTAACAACTAATTGAAAGTCCTGTGATGATACTTGAACAGTTCTTTCTTTTAAAATCCTTTTCCAAATGTATGACAAGTTGATATTTTTCGAACAACATTCGTAGAGTACAGCATATAGTTCTTTGATTTTCACATTTCAAAAGATCGATGTTTTGATGTGTCAAGGTCAGTCGAAAAAATAGATGGTCAGAAGATATTCTGAGAAAATTTTGATCATTTTATCGCAAAAATAGGTTGATTTGATTTAAAATGTGGGTGTGGCTTGTGTTATGAATAGACAAACTTACCTGCACCCTTTGCTTTTGTTTTCTTTTATTCTCCTTTCTTATTTGACTTTTAGGTGCCTTATGTATTATTCTAACAGATACACATATTATTAAGCCGCTACCTCTTTAGGGCCATTAAGAATAGAGACTTAAACATGACAAATAGCATAATTTCATATTGTCCTACCGTTACTCGAAGGAACATTCATCATATCAGTTTTATCTGCTGTTTGCTTCTATGCATCTTTGTAATTAATTGCGACTAAATCTACATTTCTATGCCGCCAGTATAGGGTCAAGTGAATCGATGTCCAGTGAACGACGTTACCTTTTACTAATGATATCGGAGATCTATTAAGATTTTTTCTTGCTTTTCAGAAGACATAATCCCATTTTGCTGATCATCATACATTTTCTCTGCAATGATTCGTAAAGAATCGACCCATGCATAAACATAATGATGCTTACCTATACAAAGCACTCTGTTCTTGGATAGAGAAGAATCAGAATTTGAGGCTGATAGGACATTTCCGCATTGCACTATCTCGAAAAATCTTTCATGAGTTACTTTTCTTGGATATTTTTACCTGTCGTGGCTGTTGTCGTTGTCGATTTTGTGGTTGTTGCTGCCACTGTAGTAATCATAATTGGTGTTTTCGCTAGAGATTTCATAACAATAATTAATGGAGCTCACATATGTTTTAGAAAAAAATAATGAGTATAAGTTTAGGTTTAGATTTCTTCGACTTCACTCAGACATATCCTAGCAACCATCGTTGAAGGTCATGATTCATTCCTCACTCGTGACAGACTTTAATAACTGGGATTGCAGGCGCTGAACGACACTAATAACAAGACTTAGAAGATTCTCGAACATTGCATAATCTTTCTTCAAATAAAAATGGATGGAATGCGTTTTTCAATATTCTAAGTAACATATTTTCTGACTTTTGAGTAGATAAATAACTATATGAAATTTGGATACCAACAGCTTCAGTCTTTCTGAGCTCAGTGAGATCGAATATAATAGATTGGTCAGATCTGATGTCGGTGAAAAGAATGTGTATAACAACGGACTTCTCTATCCAATAAATCAATGGTTAGAATATAGCCATCAGTTGTGAAAGTGAATTAAAAAAGGAGATGATAAATACTAAGCGAATAGCAACAAGACAAAAAAAAAAGGAGCACCAACCAAAAAAAAGAAAACTAGGTCTTTTCGATATTTTATGCTTTGCATACGTTGTATTAGTAAAATGAAGCTAAAGAAAACATGTGTGTCCCATATTCAGGCCTCAAAGTGCCTATGTTAATAACCTTTTTATAATCATATGCCCAGAGGTGGAGAATCTGCCGGTAAAATGAAAAATTTTCCCTACGACAAAATTCAGTAAAAAAAACAAGTCCTACTCGTTTAAGATGTGTATTCAAGAAAGGAACTACGACTGCTTAACACATTGACATAAACTTTAGAAAAAATGAATGTTTCTATTGATTATCGTTTCGTTCAGATAATTTTGCTACTTATATTTGTCATAAACGAGATAAGACAGCTGAATCAGGAGAAACAAGTATCGAAACTTCAGCAGTGTCCAAGTACTGAGAAATAGGAATTCCCAATCTGCTGAGGAATTGTCAGTGCCGCTGTGATAATTCCTAGAGGAAATAGGAATCGACCATTGGTTCCCCCACAGTTCCACCATTCATGAAAGTCGCGATATTGCTTTTTTTAAAATAATTTGTGCACGGAACTACTGGTTCTCACAAGTTTGCAGATGAAAATGAGTGTAAGAACAAAAATTATCGCGAATGTTTCGTATTTTTACCTTTAGTAGGCAAGGAACTGTAGGGGAACTGAGGAGGAATTCCTAATTCTCAGTGCTTGGACACCCCTATACATTTCTACTTAGAAGTACTTGTAGCCAACTTTGAAGTAGTCGATTGTCTTTTTGGTTCTATAGCTAACGAAAGATGTTATGCCCGTTAGTGTTTCTCCTTCTGAGCTGTCTTGCAAAAAAGTCCAAACAAATATTCTAATTTCAATAGCTCATAATATAGTAAAAATAAATTAAACATTTAAAATAAGCGTTCGACTGATATAATTCACAAACTTTTAATAGATTCATCTGCTGCTGTTGCGTTATCGATTACATAAAATGATGCAGAATCCTTTTTATCATCGTCAATAGAATGGCTTTCTATTGGTTCTCATGAGAAAACTGCAAAATTACTTGTACTAAACAATGAATTGATCTGTATTTGGATTCTGTCAATATTTGACTTTAGAAATAAAAGAGAAGATTTTCGAAGTATGCAATAGAGAACATGAAACGAAAATATAATACGAGATTTGGCTCATTACATGATCGATTCATGTAGCGACAAACATGAACAAGAATAATCTTAAGATCTTGTTTCAACTAAATGCGATAGATTCTATGCAAAGTATTCGATAGTAAAGTTTGGTTGAAATTTTATGTGAAACTTTAGCTGAAATTAAAACGACAAAACTAACGAACGAGTGTCACGACAATCATGCAGTAATGATGTTTCTAATTATAAAATCTTGAGATCACTGATTGATTTACTTAATTTTTTGAAATTGTAAAATAAAGATTTGTGTCTTATTGATTGATATCAAAGCGACAGAGTTTCATGTCTAAAATGAGCAGTAGGCTGCGGAAAAACAAAGATTTCCAGCTGGTTCCTGTGTGAAAAAATTGAAATCGTGCATTTTCGATGATTTCTAAGAAGCAATATTTTGGAACAAAAGTTGTCAGAATCTTACTTCGACTTAGGACCACTTTTGGTCATATATTATTTAGTTAGGCACATACCAATGAGTTCAACAGCCACTCCAAGTGCTGCAAGCAAAATCAACGCCAAAGTAGCATCCATTAGAATGTAACAACAGCATCGCGTCATGTGGCATTTCCTACGTCTTCTCAATTATTAATCATGAAAGTCAAAATTAAATATAAGCACAAAGGAAATAGCTTACCTTGTGTGTCTATTCCTTTTT